TCTTTAAATTGCCCATCTGGAGTTTGTCTCTAGTTGACATCATTCACAGACTGGACAAGATTAGGAACACAAAAGGTCAGGAAATCACAAAGATGAATTCATACACTCATATTCTAGTGGTCCGTTGTAATGCATCAATGTACAATTCCTTCATATTGCTCTGAAACTAAAAGATTCTGTGTTCTTGACAATTTGAAAAAAACCAATGATCTACCAGTTAGCTGAACAGTAGATATGCACTGGAATAAATTTGTGATAATTTGGCTAATATAATATTTTGTATTGGATGCAACAATTTTTAATGGAACACATTTTTTTCTCATTTATATGTTAACTAAAGAAATGTGACAATTTTAATGACTCTTAATGCTCTTCTGAAATGACTTAGAAAATGATTCAGTGTGTCAAATCACTACAAAATCTGAAAGGAATGAACACAGGATGAACCACACTGTACTGACCTAAGCACTACAAATGACAATAGCAAACCCAGCTCTGTTGACCCTGCAAAGTCCCTCCTCTTTTAACATCTGGGGTATTGTGCCAAAAACGGGAGGGCTATTCAGTACACTGGTCATGCAACAGCTAATCATTGTAAGGTATGATTTGGGTGTACCTATGACTATGTCAGAGACACCACCATTACCTATCCATGGATATATCCTGTTCCACTGCTAGGACAGACCCACCAAAGTTCCCAGCACTACACATTTGTAGTTGCCCTGGAGTCCTCAACATTGACACCTGCTCCCATGAGGTCTCATGGCATCAGGTCAAAAGTGAGGAAGAAAACCTGATTATTACTTATTCAGCTGATCAATCTGTGCTCCATGTTTAATACCACTTGAAGAATTAGTGAGGCTGGCAATGGCACGAATTGTACTCCTGGTGGGGCAACTTCAACTTCCACTAAGAGCAGCTCGATGAGACCACTACTGACCGAAATGGCCAAGCTCCCAAGGACACAGTTCCTAGGCTGGGTCTGTAACAGGTGATGAATGAATCATCAACTGGAAGGACTTACTTAATCTTGCCCTTGCCACCTATCTTTCGTAGATTCATCTATGGGAGACAGTTTAGAAGTGACCATTTCCAAACAATTTGGAGATAAGTCCCATCCTCACATTGAGAAAACCTTCCATCATGTTGCATGCCTTTGACGTAGTGCTACGTGGATAGATTGCAAACAGGTCCAGCAACTCAAAACTGGGCATTCATTGGGTGCTGTGGGCTATGGTACAGCAGCAAAATTCAAACAGTATTTAAAATCACAAGAAATTGGCATCCAAGTTCTGTGGGTAAAAGGGAATGGAGAATAAAAATAAAGTGGTTTTGCTAAGATTGTTCAAGGCATTAATCAGACCACAACTAGAATATTGTGAGCAATATTGGGATCTTTAACTAAGGAAAGATATCCTAGCATTGGAGGCAGTCCAGAGAAGGTGAACTAGCCTGATCCTGGGTGTGAAGGGACTGTCTTATGAGGGGAAATTGAGTAGATTGGGCCTGTATTTGTTGGATTAAGTCAGGAGTCATACAACACCAGATTATAGTCCGACAGGTTTATTTGAAATCACAAGCTTTCACAAGCTCCTTTGTCAGGTAAAGAGAAGTACAGAGGCACAGAATCTATAGATGGAGACATCATTGTAAAATAATTCCAGGTAATTAAGAGTGTCAAACGATTGTACAAATGGTGTGAGTGGCAAGTCAATAGACTGAATAACAAGTCTTTGCAGGTGATCAAAATTGTCAAACGGTGTGAGTGAGGTGTCAACAGCTGAACAGCAAATGAAGGGATCACCTATGATCCAATTAATTAGGTCAGACAGATAATTACAAAATATCAAAAATAAGATGCTGCTAGAGACAAAGCAAATGGCTAGAATAGCATGATGGGTTTGACACTCCACTCACACCATTTGTACTATCTTTTGACACTCTTAATTACCTGGAATTATCCTGCAATGATCTCTCTGACGATAAAGTTTGTGCCTGTGCGCTTCCCTCCACTTCACTTGATGAAGCAGCAGCGTTCCGAAAGCTTGTGATTTCAAATAAACCTGTGGGACTATAACCTGGTGTTATGTGACTTCTGACTTTGTCCACTGCAGTCCAACACCAGCAGCTCTACATCATTGTTGGATTGAAGAATGAGAGGTGACCTTATTGAAATATACAAGATTCTTAGAGGACTTGACAGGGTAGATGGAGAAAGGTTGTTTGCTGTTGTAGGGAGAGTCTAGGACCAGAGGGTACAATCTCAGAATAAGGAATTGCACATTTGTAACAGACAACAGGAGGAATGTAACCTCTCAAAGGGTAGTGAATCTGTGAAATTCTTTATTGCAGAAGGCTGTTAATGTTGTGTCATTAAGTATATTCAAGCTGAGATAGATAGGTTATCAATCAACAAGGGAATCAAGTGTTCTGGGGAAAAGTTAGGAAAGTGGAATTCAGAATTATCAGATCAGCATAATCTCATTAAATGGCAGAGTAGACTCAGTGGGCTAATGGCCTACCTCTACTCCTATGTCTTATGATGTTATGGAAACCTCATGATCCAGCATACCTCCCAATTTATCATTACTAGCAAGCCAAGGGATCAATCCTGGTTCAATGACTGCAGGTGCAGATGCCAGCAGCTGTAGCAGACATACCTAAAAATGAAGTTTCAACATGGTGTAGCTCCAAGCCAGGACTAGTTGCATGTCAAACAATGGAAATAGCAAGTGAAATAGAGCTAAGCAATCCCACAACCAACCAATCAGCGCTAAGCGATTCCACAAACAACAGATCAGATCTAACGAAAACCGAAAGAACTGTGGATGCTGTAAATCAGGAAAAAAACAAAGTTGCTGGAAAAGCTCAGCAGGTCTGGCAGCATCTGTGAAGGAAAAAACAGAGTTAATGTTTCGTTAACTCTGAGTTCTGAGGAAGGGTCACCGGACCCGAAACGTTAACTCTGTTTTCTCCTTCACAGAATGTGCCAGACTGTTGAGCTTTCCCAGCAACTTTGTTTTTGATCAGATCTAACATCCTGTTATGAATGGTGGTGGTCACCTAAACAAAAAGAAGACTCCAAACTATCCCCATCCTCAATGACGGACGAGCCCAGCATATCAGTGCAACAAGGCTGAAGTATTTGTAACTATCTTCAACCAAAGGTGCCAAGTGGATGATCCATCTTGGCATTCTCCCAATGGCTCCATCAACACTGATTCAGTTTGTACCTGCATAACCCAATATTCTCTGGTCTGCCATCCTCTGTGGCACCCAAGGTACTTCCAGATTTCTCTATTGTTGCTTTGCATTGGTCTTTATTCAAAATACTTCTGTTACCCTTTATCCAGTTTGTAGAACCTAATGTTTTTGGTTCTAGTTGGAAATCATTCGTTCATTAGGCATTTGAGTGATATCAATCAAAATAAGACCTTCACTTTTACAGTTTTGGTGCATGGAATATTCATGGCAAATTCTCTGGTCCAGCAAAGGCCCAATCCCAAGGCTGCTGGATTAGGCAAGTACACCCTGCGTCAGTTTTCAACCAAATCAGTTCACTCCCAAGATATCAAAAAACAGCTGAAGGAACTATATACTGCAAAGTACTTGGACACTGACAAAATATCAACAGTAGTACTGAACACTTGTGCTCCAGTACTAGCATATAGCCAAGCTCCTTCAGAATAGCTATGATATAGCATCTAATGGACAACGTGGTAAGTTTCTAGGTTTGTCCTGTTCATAAGAATAAGGATAAATCCAACCTGAAATATTAGTGTCCCATTAACCTACTCTTAATCGTCAGCAAGGTGATGGAAGGAATTTTCAAAAATGCTATGAAGCAGCATTTAGACAGCATAATCTGCTTACTGATGCTCAGTTTATGTTCTACTAGAGTCACTCAACTCCTGACCTCACTATATCCTCGGTCCAAATATAGGTAAAAAAGCTGAATTCCAGTGAAAAAGTAAGGGCGTCTACCCTTGACACCAAGGCAGCATTTGAGGTCCACATTAAGAAACACTAGCAAAACTGAGGTCAATGCAGAATCAGGAGGAAAATTCTCCACTCGGTGGGGTCATACCTAGCACAGAGAAAAATTGTTGTTGTTGGAGGTTATTATCTCAGCTCCTCAACATCATTGTAAGAGTTCCTCAGGGTAATGTCTTAGGTCCAAACATCTTCAGCTGCTTCATCAATGAACTTCACTCTAACCGAAGTGGGGATACTTTCTGATGATTGTGTGAAGGTCAGCACCACTCTTGACTCCTCCGGCACTGAAGCAGTCTGTGTCCACATGCAGCAAATCCTGGGCAACGTTCAGGCTTGGCCTGATAAGTGGAAGGTAATGAGCATCTCCAACAAGAGAGAATCTAACTATCTCCTCATGACATTCCAATGCATTAGCATTATTAAATTGTTACTATCAACATTCTGGGACTTACCATTGACTAGAAACTGAACTAGTCCATCCATATACATGCTATGACTACAAAATTCTAGCCAGAAGCTGGGAATTCTGCTATGAGTAACTCACCTTCTATCTCCTCAAAGCCTGTCTATCATTTACAAAGCACATGCTAGGAGTCTAGTGAAATATTCTCCATTTGTCTTGATGGGAATCATTCCAAAGACACATTCCAGTCATGTCGGACAAAGCACGCCTTTTTGGACATCCCATTCACCACATTTGACAATCACTCCTTACACAAATAATGCACAGTGGCAACCATGTGTAACATTGAAACAATACAGTGCAGCAACTCACTAAGGCACTTTCGACACCACCTTCCAAACACATGACGTTGACACTGAGGATAGGGCAGCAAAAGCAAAAGAAACCTATTTTTATAAGACCATATCATCAGGCACTTTCATAACACATGACTTTTCAGAAAGGGTCAGAAAATCCAGCTACATTATGCCCGGACAATTCCAACATGGGTACTGAAGTCGCTATGCTACGTAACAGCTTTCTCCAAGTAATGAAAACCTACCTCTGAGAGATGGTACCCCATGCACCATGCTTGTTTGTAAGGATGTTGAGAATCTTTTGTTTTAACTGATTGGCTGTAACATGATCTCGATGCTTCGCAGCACTAATGAGATGATCACACATCTTCTCTTCTTCTCTTCTATCCGCTGTATATTGAGCACATTGGGACTGTTGATGAAAATTAAAAACAAGTGTGCTCAACAAAGTAAAAAAAAATCACAATATTGGTCTATAAGATGCTTAAAATTCTGATAAACTTAAGAACGCAACACAATAATTACATGAAATCACAGGGCATGCAACCCAAATCATACAAGAATGGAATTAGATCAATGTACTAAAATCTCAACTGTTATTAAGATAAGATGTAAAGCATGATTACCTAACTGGCCAAATTGCTAATGCAAGAAAATTATTTTTCAAAGATCTTGTGTTTTTTCTAAGAAAATCTTCCAGCAAATATTGAAAAGATAAATGGAGGAAAAATGGAACTTTCCTTATTGGAAAGGCAGAAACATAGAAGATACGAGCAGCAGGATGCCATTCGGCCTTCAAGCCTGTTCCACCATTCTTCACGATCATGGCTGATCATCCAACTCAATAGCCTAATCCTGCTTTCTCCCCATAACCTTTGATCCCATTCACCCCAAGTGCTACATCTAGTCAGCTCTTGAAGACATTCAATGTTTTGGCATCAACTACTTCCTGTGGTAATGAATTCCACAGGCTCACCACTCTCTGGGTGAAGAAATGTCTCCTCATCTCCATCCTAAATCATTGATCCCGAATCCTCATAATGTGACTCCTGGTTCTAAACACACCCACCATCGGGAACATCCTTCCTGCATCTACCCTGTCCAGTACTGTTAGAATTTTATAAGTCTCTATGAGATCCCCCCTCATTCATCTGAATTCCAGCGAAAATAATCCCAACCTAGTCAATCTCTCCTCATACCTCAGACCCGCCATCCCTGGAATCAGCCTGGTAAACCTTCACTGCACTCCCTCGAAAGCAAGAGCATACTTCCTCAGAAAAGCAGACTAAAACTGCACACAATATTCGAGGTGTGGTCTCACCAAGGCCCTGTACAACTGCAACAACACATCCCTGCTCCTGTACTCAAAACCTCTCGCAATGAAGGCCAACACCATTTGCCTTCTTTAACATCTGCTGCACCTGCATGCTTACCTTCAGCGACTGGTGCACAGAGACACTCAGGTTCTGCTGCACACTTCCCTCTCCCAATTTACAGCCATTCAGGTAGTAACCTGCCCTCTTGTTTTTGCTTCCGAAGTGAATAATCTCACATTTATCCAAATTATACTGCATCTTGCCCAGTCAGCCAACCTGTCGAGATCGCCCTGAAGGATCTCTGCATCCTCGTCAGTTCAGCCTCCCACCCAACTTTTAATTGATTGGCAAAACTATATTAATTACATTCTTGGTAATTTTAAAACAATTTAAGCGTGAAATGATAAAGAAACTATCATTAATCTTCCAAATGGTAAAATTATTGATCCATTATGGTTATGGAAATGAATAATATAGCCCACAGATATTGAAACTGAGTTACAAAAATTGACTACTCAGAACAGGATCCTAGATCCTTGCTGCTCGTTGAGACCAATTTAAATTTTGTTTCTGGAATGCATAGGGATTGGTGTTCAGACAAGTGGGAATTTTTTTTGTTTTTTCCTGCATCAGTAAAAATGTAGGTTTTTGCAAGTAAAACCCTTAACACCATCTTAATAATATTCCTTTACACTCGACCTTTGAACAACATGCCATTTGCACCCACGAAAATTTTATGGCCTTCGGTACATTCTGTTGATCTTGCGGACTAAGAAAGATTTAGTGCCACATCTTTTATCATGATGTCACCATATGAGTTTGGGTTCTAGACATATTGGCCCATCAGAAGGCAAAGTCAAGAAATTTCATCAGGATTATATTTCAAACACAATTTATTACACTTTGACAGAAATTTTACTGGGTCCTCAACAATATGAGATACGCTGAGAAATGTGGCAGATTCACATAAGAAGTGCAGCAAAACCCATCTCAATGTTGGGAAAAACTCGCTGCATCTTTTAACTAATTCCTGAGCATCGAGGCAACATTCTTACTAAGCAGTGGCAAACTGCCTACAAAGGCAGATTATTGTTTGTTAATGATCATATTAACTGCCCATCTTGTCTCATTCACATACAGCTTCCCATCCTACTGCTCACCTCAAGCTAACTAGACACTGGGTATTCTTGACATGCAAGTCAAAGTGGGTACCTGGTGACTTCAGCTCATTGCTCTAAATAGCTGGCCATATTTTAACCACACAACAGCATCTCAGGACATACATTATGGGCATCAATGAAATGCACCTGTCATCCATTTATATTGTAATCCAATAATTGCCAAGCCCTCAGGATCTGCATGGAACCTCTCTTCCTTCTTGCAGATTCCATAAGGAGGTCAGTCTTCAGCATAGCAGCAACTATCATTGAAACATTGCTGCAGGATATAATGCATGCAAGGCCAGGCACCCAGCTCATGGATTGGACTAAGCTGCACCTTGGCTGGTCACTGGTTCTTTTAGTGATCACCTACCTGGATACTCATGTCAATTCTGCCTTTGCTATTTAACATAATCACACAATCATACAGCTTGCTTTCCTGATCAGCAGTCCTCATGTTACTGCATGGAATTGTACTGCATCAAGCTCATACCTGTGCCACATGCCAGAAGCTCATGTGGCAAACACACTGCATGTGCAGAAAGCAAGCAGCCATGTCGCAACACCTTTGGGGTGCTGTCCTCACCAAATTCTATGCAAACATCCATCAATTAGAGGAGCCTCTGATTCTGGATTGGACACAGTCACGCATCTGGATGGAGTGTTCTTGAAAAGTGCATCTGTATCTTTGCAGTTCAAGGACTGGAGTCAGGCTAAGTTCTGTGGATCCACAGGAGCCAGTTTAATGCAGTTGAAGAGATGTGCAGGCATCAATCAGGGGTCTGGACACTTCTCATCCAGGACTGTACAGTTGGTCTGCTCAAGTGGGCAAGCCAATGGTTAGTCCATTGTTTTGTCCAGAGAAACCAGGGGAAAAGAGGACCACTGCCACGGGAAGTGATAATTAGGGGCTGCAAGCTGGGAGAAGTAGGGGAATGACAATTGTGAAGTAGAGGTGATTGTATTTATAAAGCGGGAGAGTATAGAAAAACATGGATGGAAACAGAATCATATGGGAAGGGGGTTTGTCCATGTACAGGTGCACCCTTGCTTCAAAGCATGGTGGTAGTTGGGGAGAGGGTAAGGTGCAGGGTTCAATGTATAATCATACCTGGCGTGGTCACCTCATGTCAGGGGCCAGGGGCAGCAAAGTGGCCAGGTGCAGGTTCATATGGACGGTTGGCTGGAGACCTGGGGAGATGCAAACTATAATGGCTGCATAGGAAGGGGATCTAGATGCTTGAAGCCTCACTGACACATAGAGATGGCAGCTAGGAATGACTGCATAAAGTGAGCTTGCTGTCATCTTCCATCATGATGAAATACTAAATACTACTATGCACAGTAATCATAGATATACCAGTCTCTGAATACAGTTACATTGTTGAGGACTAATCTATGTTCTCCGTATGTTCACGTCCATGTGCTCATATCAGTGTTCCAGAGAGAGGGGTGTAGTCTCGTCTATACTTGTCTAATATGTAGCTAAGTCCACCTACACAGTGATATTTAAGCTCAATAATACATAGCTCTATGACATCGTTACAAGGTTGCTCCAGGTTGCAGAACCCCTTTCACAAAATCTCTCCCCAAGCTTTCTTCCAGTCATAATCATTGATTTGCAGTTGTATACATTTTCAAACCAGTTACCTAGATTACTTTCTACATTTATTGTACATATTTCCTTCTTTCTCCTACTGCTCCTTAAGTCCTGTCGTGATTCATGAGTCCACAAATAGGTGGCGAAAGTCTACAACAATACACAGCAGATAGAAGGAACTATGAACCTGCACCCCAAGATCTCCTTGATCAGCAACACTCCCAAGGACCTTACCATTAAGTATATAACTCCTGCCCTGATTTACCTTTCCAAAATGTAGCACATCACATTTATCTAAATTAAATTGCATCTGTAACTCCTCGGCCCATTGGCCCATCTGATCAAGATTCCGTTGTACTCTAAGATAACCTTCTTCGCTGTTCACTACACCTCCAATTTTGGTTTCATCTGCAAACTTACTAACCATACCTCATATGTTCACATCCAAATCATTGAAATAAATGATAGAAAGCGGTGGACCCAGCACTGATCCTTTTGGCACTCTGTTGGTCATAGGCCTCCAGTTTGAAATGCAACCCTCCACCACCATCCTGTCTTCTACCTTCGAGCCAATTCTGTATCGAAATGGCTAGCTCTCCCTGTTTTCCATGTGATCTAACGTTGCTAACCAGTCTACCATGAGGAATTTTGTCAAATGCCATTCTGAAGTCCATATATATCACGCCCACTGCTCTGCCCTCATCAACCTTCTTCATTACTTGTTCAAAAAACTCAATCAAGTTAGTGAGAAATGATTTCCCATGCACAAAGCCATGTTGCCTTTCCACATACATGTAAATCCTGTCCGTCCAACAACTTGCTCACCACTGATGTCAGGCTCACTGGTCTACAGTCCCTTGGCTTTTGCTTACCACCTTTCTTAAACAGTGGCGCTACTAACCCCAAGTGCTATATTCGACTCCCTCTTGAAATCACATGGTGCTTTGGCTTCAACCTCTTTCTGTGGTAGCGAATTCCACAGACACAGCAGTCTCTGGGTGAAGAAATTTCTCTGCATCTGAGTCCTAAATGATTTACCCTGCATCTTTTGACTGTGACCCCTGGTTCTGGACTCCTCAGGCATCAGGAATATTCTTCCTGCAACTACCCTGTCCGGTCCTGTTAGGATTTTATAGGTTTCTACAAGATCACACCACTCATTCTTCTGAACGCCAGCAAATATAATCCCAACCAAATCCTCATGTCAGTATTGCTATCCTAGGAATCAGTCCGATAAACCTTCATTGTACTCCCTCTACAGCAAGAGCAAGCTCTCTCAGATAAGGATGAGAAATCAGATAAGCAGTTTTTGCTCACAATATTCCAGGTGTGATCT